TAGCTGCAACAATGGGCTCAAACACAGCTACGATTTTGAGGATGGCACAGGACTGGGCAGTGTTTCACTCTGTTGTATACAGGGTTGCTATGAGTCGGAACCAACTCAATGGCACCTAGCAACAACAACAAGTGGTGGCACAAGTTGTCTGTCTGGCATTGCCTAGTTCACGAGGGCTGCTCCATTCCAATTCTGCAGCCAAACTGGAGGAACACAGCTCCTTCATTCTTTCAGATATTTGGTTATCCATTCTGCTCACAGATAGCACCCTTGAGTGACTTATAGTGCCATGTGGGGACAGACACACAAACAGGCCATGACAAGACAGTGTGTCATGGCCTAAGATGGGATAAATAGAAGGTGCTTCTGATTCCCAGCACTTTATCTTTCTGGCCTAGAAATAATGCCTGAAGCTTGGCTTTCCCCTTCACAATGCCACAATTGACATGCCTGCATAGAAGCCCCTCTACCACTCTCCTATCTTTCTTGGAATTTCTCTTTGATGCTTGCCTCCAAGCACTAAAATATCCCCTTCAGAGTTAGTGAATGAAATGGAAAACAATAGAGAAAAACCAATGAAATAAAAAGCTGGTTCTTTGAAAAATAAATAAAATTGATAAACCTCTAGCAAGACTGACAGAGATAAAGAAAACACACAAATCATGAATATCAGGAATGAAGCAGGGGATATCATTACAGATCCTGCAGCCATTAAAAGGTTAATAAGGGAGTACTACGAACAACCTGACACCCATAAATTTACAACTTAGAAGAAATGGACCAATTTCTAGAAAACCACAAGCCACCAAAATTCAAACGTGATGAAACAGACAACCTGAATAGTCCCATAACTGTTAAAAAAAAATTGAATTTGTAACTTAAAAGTTCCCAAAAAAGAACTCTCCAGGCCCAGATGGTTTCAATAGAGAATTCCATCAAACATTTAAAGAATTGTAAAAAGTTTATGCAATCATTTCCAGAAAATAAAGGAGGGAAGGAAAACCTCCCAACTCATTTTATGAGGTCAATATTACCTTGATACCAAAATTAGACAAAGATAGTATATGTTTACACATAAAGAAAACTATAGACCAATATCTCTCATGAACTTAGATGCAAAAATTCTCAACAAAATATTAGCAAATTGAATGTACCAATATATAAAAATAATTATGTATACCATGACCAAGTGGGATTTACTCCAAGTAGGCAAGGCAGGTTCAGCATTAGAAAAGCGATTGATTGCTATGATGGATGTAATCAACACAGTTAGTGAGCACCAAAGCAGCATCCTCTTGCTCATTCATTCTCAGTATCAAGACACAGTCTTGGTTGGAGTGGAACTGCAAGCCATGACTTTGGCCAGTCCCACTGCCGGCCCCACTCCAGCTCACACACTGACTTGGGGCTTATGCCCTGGAAGTTCACACTTGGGTTCACTGCGCAGAGACCTGTTACATACAGACTACAGGGACCAGCACCTTGAACACCCAGCAGAGAAGCCCACTGGCCCATCTCCAAACACCATCTCTCAGCACTCGAGTTCGGCCGTGTTGTGCCTTTCCAACCCTGAGCAACACCAGCCCTAACCAGTGAAAGATCCAAGCCTGCATCAAAGGGTATGCCAAACTTCAACTTGCTTTGTGAATCTGAAAAGTAAGGAAACTGAAACACGCATTGTGAATCCGTCAGTGGGGACAGTGCACACTGATCTTACCGAGAGGAGGACTCTGAAACTCACTCTCTCGCTGTCATTAAGGCTAAGTGCTCAGGTAAGACACATCACTTGGAAAGAGTACCTTTGCAAGGTCCTAGGATCCTTTGAACTTGAAGTTTGTATAAATCTTTAGTTTTTACTGTAAAATTCCCTCCAACTTGGCTCCTTTTTATATTAAAGTGGTTTTTAAGAGTTTTGAGGTAAATTTGGAACACCCCAAATTCTACATTCCAGTTCAGCAGATCTGGACCGGTGAGTCAGGAGGGTGTCATTTAAGCCTGGCATGGCCTGTGGCTCCCTGACGGATGCAGAGTCCCATCAGAGGAAGGTAAGGGAGGTGTTCTGACCTTCCCTGACTAGCCATACCTGAAGCGAAAACAGTGTCTTCTGGGAAGAAATATGGATACATTGTGCAAGTTACATGATTCTCAGGGCCAGGGAAAATGTGCCCTTCATATCCATGCTGCGGTGAAATGCCAAGCACATTGCTGTTATGCTAAATGGTAGGATTTGGTGGCTAATAGAGTCAGTGTGGGGAGAGAGACCTCTTTGAGCAAACTTGAGGCTAAGCCCAGGTCTGCTGCCTAGTCCCACGGCCTTACAGGATAGGGCAGTTTGGCTGTTGTCTCAGAAGCCCGCATCAGTGGCTCGTCTGCCACTGGAGAATAGCCACTTTATGAGAAGGTGCATTTCCAGCCTAGGGTCGTTATGAGTCGGAATCGACTCAACTGCTAAGGGTTTTTAATGGAGTGGCCCTGGATCCAGGAGGAGGTGGCTCGCCATTTCGTGGATGGCCACGGAAGGAGTCACTTCTGCGCAGTGACGGTAAAAGTGGGTGTAGCAGTGGAGACCCTGACCCTCTCCTTCTTACTCCCTCTCTACCAGCCTACCCCCTATAGGTAAAATACTTTGCATCTATTCTCATCCTGTCACTCACCCCCAACCAGGTGAGCAGTACCTACAGAAGTACCTCACTATCTGTATATCATCTTTATTTTTAAATAAATTATCTTCTAGACCTTCAGCAAGGGAATTCTTTGTGTTCTATCCATACTTTCTGAGCCTTCACATTTCCGTTGGCATCTTACTTCTGTCATACTAGAGCTGTATCTTGATAGATTTTAGCATTCAGTTCCTTCTGGAGGCTCCAGCTGTGTGAGTCACCATGGTAACTAAGATTCTCACCTCTGTTTGGACATACGCAGGAAGCACTTTCTCTGGGGGTCAGGGGTAAGGACATTCCTGCTGGCCAGTGATATGATGACACTCAGGCTGCCACTAACAGCATTCTAAAGAAGGATGGGCAAAATAAGCCAAGGAGACTGTCCAGAGAAGCCCAACTAAATACCCCTCCCCCCACTCCAGCCTTCTCTCCATCTCCAACCAGTTGTGGAGACAATAGGACATTCCTGGTGGCTCTTCCCAGCTTGGATCTTACAAACTGCAGTAAGTTCTAGTTTGTGGCCTAAACAGAGAGAATTCCTTGTGCATCTGTATTCCTTTGTACAAATGGAAACATGAATGTACAGAGCTAATTAATTCCCTTATGCCAGAATCTCCTTAGAAGGAAAGGAAGTTTTTCCACTCATTGGCTCACATCTTTCAGTTTGGAGAAAGCAACATTTAACTCAGGGCTTTTACTTGTCTCTTCAGGGCTCTAAAGTACTTTACAGATACAAAGTAAAACTAATATGGAATTTTTCTTTTAGTTTATTAAATTGTTCCCCTCCTCTAGACAAGTGGAAATATTTAAATCCATCTCTAAGAGGTGCTTTCAGTGTATTATTTCCTATCTAAATACCTGAACACTGACAGATATGCAAAAACATTCTACAATTTCTAAGAAATCCAAACTGTAAACTTAACAATGGAAACCCCAGCACTCTGTCTTGAAGATTCAATAGCATCAAGCAGAGTTAAATCTCAGGACTTAGTGGGGATGTGCAACTGAGGTTATTGTGTGGCAAATGCACATGGCAGTCAGGTCAAAATTAATCTTGTAAGGATCTGATCAAACGCCAGAACCAGGAAGAGAGAGGGTCATGTACACCATGCACATCTGCCTGGCTCTTTAGGGACTGCTGGGAAGCGAAAATACAATACTCAAAGAAGTTACACCTAGGCCAGCTTCCTGGTTCATGTCTTAAGGATGGGATTGTCATGCATCCATGCGAGTCAAGGCAAGGAACGATGGACCGATTCCAGGTACAGACAATTCAAGCACTAGCACCATTCTCCTCCCTCCTGTACCTAGAGAGCTGTACTCCCGCCACCGTGTTTCTGCAGAATGGGTGTGGGCTGCTTTCCCCATGCAGAAGCTGAGGAGTCAGAGAGTAAGTGAATACAAGCTGAAACTGTCTGATCCCAGTTACTCTACTGCCCATTCTACCCCTTGCGTACTTCGAAGTCTATCCTGCAGGTACCGTCATCCTTGTACAAATGGAGACATGACAGACAGAGCTAAGCAATTTCTTAATTCACATGTAAAATCCTTTAGTTAAAAGATGAGGTTAAATATTTGCATATACAGGTATATACGACGTATTAGAGTTATGAAGAACTGCACTTATGACTTTTTTTGTACATCTTATCATTAGTAATATGTACTACATAGAGTGTTGCAGTGTGTAATTTGCTGATGTTATCATTCCCATGCCAACCCCCCAAAGACAAATAAAGGTCGGACTTATAAAAATACTGATAATAAAAGGCAATAATAATGAAAACTAAAAAAAATAAAATAAAATGAGGTATTCAATTTACATCAGAACTGACTTACGTCTGAGTCCTTGGAACCTGTATATATTTCCAACTTATATGTAAGGCAGGCATATTGCTAACAAGTTTAATGTTTTCTTCATTTTATCTACTGTTTCTTCCTCAAGATCTTAAAATAAGGTGGGTTCCTTCAGGGGATATGCACTTACTTTACTCAAAATATCTTTTTTTCTCCTGAAAAGTTATAACATGTGGTGGTGGTGGTGGGGTTACCTGAGACCATGGGAAAATCCAGTGAGTCACAAATAGATAGTTATGTGGTAATGATATGAAAGGGCATTAAAAAGAGAAGTCTATCATCATGTCCTAAGATCAAACGACTTACTGTGAGTGGAATTTCGGAAACAAAATGAATTGCAATGTTATATTTTTTTTTTTTTTTCCCTTTTGACTGAACCTGAGAGAAAAGTTTGTCATTAGTCTCCGAAAAGAGCAAGAAATACTATCTGACTTGTTCTATTCCTTTACTCAGATTGCCAGACAAGAAGAAGAGGAGTCCACCTACGTCCACGAGCCTCCAGGCCTCACTGATGATCGCGTACTGGATCCGGTTCAGGGCAAAGCCGTCGATCTCTTTCTGGATTCTGATCGGAGTCTGCCCTATCTTCTTCATCAGGGCATGTGTTCTGTCCACGGTTGAAGGGTCTGTTTCCGGGTGTGGAACCAGCTCAACCAATGGGACATAGTAGGGTGGATTTACCTTATAAAAAGGAGAGAGGAAAGGAGGGAGTCAAGATGATAGCACTGGAGATTTGGGGTGTTTTACTGGCAGTTTTTGCTCAATTATCTTGGATGGTCAGATAGGAAGAATTCACCTTTGGAAAGGAATGGCCTCTTTAGATTTAGCATTCACTGACAAGAAACTTGAGTACTAAATTAATTCACAAAGGGCAGAGAAAAAAGAGAGAACTTGAACACAAAAGTTTGTGGTTTTGTTTAAATAACAACAAAAAAAATCATAACCAACATATGAGACTGAAATTTGGGGGTACAGTTTACCACCTTGAGAAGTTTATGGAAAATCTCCAGACCCCTGATCTCCAAGCTTCTTCTCAATTAGAGGATTTCTCTTCTACCATTTGTTTTAACTTCATAGGCACCCGTCCATCCCTCACCACCCCCCTAGCACCAGTTCTTTCCACTCTTAGTAATTATAGGTTCCTGCCATTCTACTGTATCAGTGTAAAAAATTATTGACAGCATCTTACCAAAACTTGACATTTCCATAATTTCTCCATGTTTGCTTCAAATACCTGTTTCCACACCTCTAATCTCCCCCTCTAGCTCTAAAGAGATCCACCTGCACCAGGAACCACACAGCATTAAACACCTCAGCAGCCTCAATATCAAGATGTGGGTCAGAGACAGAAAGCATATTTCATAGCAGAATTCTATCCAAGAGTAAGTGGGTCCTAATATTTAACTTGCAGCTCTGCTTTTCTTGGTTTACTTTGAGAAACTCTGTTCTTGATTATCCCCACAGAGAATTACCTAATGTCCAATGAAAACATTGCTTGGCAGAACCTAATTAACCTCGCCATTGAGTCAAATGTGCCACAGTAACACCTATTGTTCTGGTGACCTCATATGTGTCATAGTAGAACTGCATTCCATAGGGTTTTTCAGTGGTTGATTTTTCAGAAGTAGATCAACAGGCCTTTCCTCTGAGGCACCTCTCAGTAGACTTGAACAGCCAACCTTTCAGTTAGTAGCCAAACTCTTAACCTACCACAGTAAATTGATGCCCAAATCTGCTTTTAAATTGTTTTTCCTCAACATCTGAGTGATAATTGGTAAAATCTCACATTTACCTAATAAGTATAAGAAGTTAAAATAAGTTCTACATAAAAAGGGAAAGAAAAATAAAGAACACCACCCAGGAGGAGGCAAACTGGTCCACGTGTGACTCAGATTCAGAGTTTCTTCTGGCCACTCTCAACCCACTGAAAGAGAGGATGTTACCTGCTTCCAGATAAATAATCAATCAATACCTTAGTTGAATTATCTGTCTCCTGCTTATAATCATTGCATTCTTATAAAAATGTTTAACCTCTGACCTTTTTTATCAGAATTACAAGAACTGGCAGCAAGTCAATCTCAAATGAACTTTATCCTAGTACAATGCAGGCATGGTGGGACTCAGGATTTTTTTTAACATTGTAGGCCTCATGAGTGCCAAAAGTATAGATTGAGACCAGCAGTGAAAAACCAACTCCCTTGTTCTCTCACCTTGGTCTTCTTACTGCCCACACTTTAAATGAAGGTGCTCCCCAGGGCTCCAAAGCTGCCTCTGTTCTGCCCACTCCTCAGACTCCCCGGAAAAGCTCGCCAACTCCCACCACAGGATGCTGAGGACTCCCAAGTCCCTGTGTGCATGTGTCTGTCTGTCTCTCTTGCATAGATCTCACCTCTGAAGTCTAGGCACACACTTATAATTGTGTACTGGACAATGTCCCTTGGAGAAACCACAAGCACGAAATAACTAAACCTGGCTGAAATTAAAATCCCCTTTTTCCCCACCAGGAACCTTATTTTTCTTCCTAGTCCCAAACACCCCAGCTCTAACCCCATAACTGGAGAAGCATACCTGACCACACCTCTCCCTTCCCTCCCCCACATCCTATCAGTGACAGAAGTCCTGTCAATTCTATCCCCATCTCTCAAAACACCCACTGCCACTGCTACACACCTAGCAGGGCCTCATTTCTACCCTCAGCTACAGTCCTCTCCTCCCTGGCCACCCTGCCTCCCTCTCAGCCTCTTCCACATACCTCTGTGTGCCACCACCATCCCCTCCAGCCCCAAACCCTGTGGTGATTCTCTGCTGCCCACCATAAAATGCACATGACTTACTAGCCATGCAGGGCCTTCATGATTCCGGCCCTCTACTCTTTTCCAGACACACCACACCCTCATGCCTTTGCATTCAGATGCACAAGCTGGGAAGCTGAGAGGATCTCTAGATGTCCCTGGGCTTAGGTGGAAGCCATTCTTGCCACAGCACCTAGGTCCTCAGACAAGGAAGTCAACCCGTTTCAGGTTCAGGGAAGGATCTTGACAATAATGATGACCAGGTGCTGCTGAGAATATTCTGCTCATGGCAACCCCAAGTGCCTCAGAGTAAAACTGCTCCACATGGTTTTCAATGGCTGGTTTTTTGGAAGTAGATTGCCAGGCCTTTCTTCTGAGGTGCCTCTGGATGGACTTGAAGCTCCAACCTTCAGTTAGCAGCTGAACGCTTAACAATTTTCACGATTTGAACCACCAACCTTTCTGCTAGTAGTAGAGTGCTTAACCATTTTTGCTTTAAATTTAGCACAGTCAAGAAGATGAGAGGAAGGGGATAACCAAAGTAAGTGACTTTATTAAAAGGGGATAGTGTGACTGTGAGGCTCTCTGAGGTCTCAGGTTGAGCAAGCGACACAGTAGAGCTTTCTCTCATTCATCTCCGTGAAAGGCCTGCAAAGCTGACACCGAGCCCAGGAGGCATGTGATTACTCTGATAGCACAGCACACCCTGCACAGAAGCTCCATTTATTTTCTCTGTGTTGGATCAGATGAAGTCAAGCAGCCAGAGGAAAGGCAGAAAGGTCTCCTCCCAGAAGGCATCTGTAACAATTTACAATTCATTCACACAAACGCCTCCAAGGGCGGGTGTGGAGAAGTGGACTTGAGCCTAGACCCTCCTGTCCAGCAAACTGTTGAAACTGTTCTCCCTGGGACAACCACAACACACAAAAATGAAGGGTGCTTCTGGTTTACCTATGGATGGGTGTATTTAACCTGGTAGCATTTTCTTCAGCTATTAATACTGTAAATAAACCCTCAGTAACTAGGATCAGTCCCCAGTGCGGAACAGTCCTGGTGTGCAGGCTGACACAGAGATCTACTGAGTCCCCTCTGACCTGTGGGAGGTCAGGATCTTCAGGATCTGGAACCGGCAGGACTGTGCAGGTATACAAATGGACGTGCAGACACACGCAATTCTGTAAACACCGAATGCAGAAATCAGATACTTAAATCACCCAACGCGGTCAGGCGGCATCAGTGTGGACAAGAGAGTCAGTCAAGGAAGTGCAGGTATAGGCAGGGTGAGTGCAGGCAGCAATCCTGGGCAGCGTGCTGTAAACAGGGCTGACTAGTAATAGGTATTTAGCTGCACATTTTAAGGAATGCTTCCACCCAAGATGTGAGTCTCTGTGAGCAGGATGGGCAGTCCGCCGGCTGGCCTTACCCACAGGGAAGCCATATGAGGCAGCAGCGGCACCAAGAGGTGACTTGACTGGGTGAAAGAGTCTACCAGCATCTGTCAGATCAAAGTTATCCCACATTGAAAACAGGGAAGAATAAGGGGGAGGGAGGGTTGTCTTAGTTATCTAGTGCTGCTATAACAGAAATACCACAAGTGGATGACTTTAACAAAGAGAAATTTATTCTCTTACAGTCTAGGAAGCTAGAAGTCTGAATTCAGAGTGCCAGCTTCAGGGGAATGCTTTCTCTCTCTGTCAGCTCCAGAAGAAGGTCCTTGTCATCAATCTTCCCCTGGTCTAGGAGCTTCTCAGTGTAGGAACCTCGGGTCCAAAGGATGTGCTCTGTTCCCTGCATTGCTTCCTTGGTAGTATGAGGTCCCTATCTCTCTGCTCGCTTCTCTCTTTTATATCTCAAAAGAGATTGACTCAAAATACAACCTAATCTTGTAGATTAAGTCCTGACTCATTAACCTAACTGCCTCTAATCCTGCCTCATTAACATCATAAACGTAGGATTTACAACACATACGAAAACCACATCAGATGACAAAATGGTAGATAATCACACAATACTGGGAATCATGGCCTAGCCAAATTGACACACATTTTTTGGGGACACAATCCACAACAGTGGCTTTGTAAAGTATAGCTGAAACTATCAGTAGAAAACACTGCTCCTTCTATGGATGGGTAACAGAGATTGCAATGCAAATTCAACTTTAAGACAATCATCAGCCAACACCTACCCACTATCAAATTGCCATCCCTACGCTCCTGTAGGAGGCCCTGGGTGGCACAAATTGGTAAAGCGCTTGGGTACTAACCTAAAGGTTGGCGGTTTGAACCCATCCAGAGGAGCCTCTGAAGAAAGCCTGGAGATCTGCTTCCAAAAGGTAACAACCTTGAAAACTCTCGGGAGCACAGTTCTAATCTGCACATGTGGGGTTGCCATAAGTCAGAATCGACTTGACAGCAACTGGTTATAATTATGCACCTCTACACAGAAATTCTGGAGTCACCACAGGCAGGGGGACAGGTAGACAAGAAAGGTAGACAAAAGACATCTGAGAGGAAGAAGGTCAAGGACATAGAGAATGGTTGTATTAACATTCCTCCTATTGGGCCTTTAGTGTACCGGTGTCAGCTGTCACTTTTCCTGTTTTATTTTGCTTCTATCAAGCACATTCTAAAATTTCACTTAAGTTACCTCAGCTTTCAGAATGCATGTCCACCTTGCCCACCAATGAAACATAGTGAACTGATCTGACAGTCTTCCCCAGAAAATGTGCCCAGGAGGATACATGTGTGTCCAACATGTTGGCTGTCTGATTTTCCATGCATGTGGGGATATTAATGTTTTGCAAGTGCTGAGTATCCGTCTTTCAGTGGCATTAGCAAACCTCCTTTTACTTTACCCTATTTCCTGGCTCATGCAATGAGTCAATGACGATTTAAACACTGATACTGAAGGCAACAGGGTGGAGCTGATGTGCTGGCCCTTCCTGTTTGGCTTTGCAAGGGCTGACATAAAGCTATGTAGCTCCTCAAATATTATAAGAAATTCTGGGTTACTTACAGACTCCCTGTCCAGCTTGGAGTCCCTGAGTGTTACTAATGATTAAGAGCTCATCTGCTAACCAAAAGGCTGGAGGTTTGAGTCCACTCAGAGGCGCTTTGGAAGAAAGGTGAAAAACCAGCCATTGAAAACCCTATGGAACACAGTTCTACTCTGACACATATGGGGGTGCCAAGAGTTCAATCGACTCAGTGACAACTGGTTTAGTTTTTTGCTTCGTCTGGCTTAGATTGAATTATTTAAGACTTCTTTTCACTCCCCTAGAAATCAGTGCAATAATCAAAGGCTGGGTAGTACAAGCATAGAACAAAGGAAAGGATAAAATTCCAAAGAGTTAATACGGGTTATTTATTTTGGTTAAAATAATTTACACAAGTAATGAGAAATTAATTTTTAAAATAAGGTTTGGATTTTCTTTAACCATGCTGCTTGCTTTTAATAAAATAAGTAAAAGCAAGCCATGTTTGAGTGGGAGAAGAGTGGGTATGAGGGATAAAAATGTGTCATTATTCACCATCTACTGACTGCCCACTAGTCAGAGGCCCTGTGCTAGGTGTGACAGAGAAAAAATGAATAATGTGTAATCTCACTTATAAGATAGGTTATCATTGAAGAGACTTGGTAAAGTCTTATCCAATTACTAAGGAGGTTATCTTTTGAACAATTTGATTTAATTTTTAATTTTTTTTTTAAACTAACCCGGAAGTAAAAACACTACTTGGAAATCAGAAGCTTTCAAGCAAGAGGACACTGGTGCCACCTGTCACTGAGGTGATCAGGTAGTAAGTGGCTCGTGGTCTCTGAGTCCTTCTTACAGACACGTGTATGTTGTAGGACAGAAGGCATGCCATACTACATAGAACCTTGGAACTTGATCTTTGGATGCTTCCAATTCATGTCCCTCCTGGTGCTAATTCCACTTGTATTAGAAGTGAAAATAACACTTTTTCAGGGGTAGCAAAATGTGGCTGGTTTTCTTACATGTTCTATTGGTCTAAGTCTCATTATTTTATAATCATTCATCACACTTTACATTATATTTCAGTATGAGATAAAACATCCAGAACTGTATGGTTATTTAAAAGGCAGTCCCAGCAGCTCCTCTTCTCGGCATAAAACATCTAGTAGGCATGAACAACTAGCCTTTCTTCTTCACCTCTCTAAGCAAATCTGTTATCTCCCCTACCCTAAACTGTTCTTTTTCAAAAATTGTCATAAAAATATACATAGCAAACATATGCGAACTCAAAAATTTTCTACGTGTACAAGTCAGTGACATTGATTACATTCTTAATGTTGTGCAAGCATTCTCCCTATCCTTTTCCAAATCATTCCACCACTGTTAACATGAGCTCAATGCTCCCTAAGCAAGAACTTCCTCTCCCGCCCACCCCACCCTTGGTAACCATTAATAATCTTTGGTTTCTATATATTTGCTTATTTCATATATGTGAGATCATACAGTATTTGTCCTTTTCTGACTGACTTGTTTTCCTCAGCATGATGAACCTAAACTACTCTTGCCCAGAAAGAGGAATCCCCTGCTCTTAATTCTAGGGCCCTACCCTGGCTGGGGACCCAGTCACTCATGCTTGAAATATCACACTGAAACTTGTGAAAGAGTTGCTCCCCTCCCTGACCACCTTCAACACAGAAAGGTCCTTATGTTGTTGTTAGTTGTCATGGAGTTGGCTCTGACTCAAGGTGATCTTATGTACAACAAAAGGTTGCCTGGTCCTGTGCCATCTTCACGATCATTGGTAAGTTTGAGTCCGTTGTTTCAGCTATTGTGTCAATCCACCTCATTGAGAGTTTCCCTTGTTTTCACTGACTTACCAATGATGTCTATGACGTCCTTATTACAGGTTTCCCCAAATCATGTTGCTACTCTGTACCTAAACAAATCCCAATTCTTCAGAGTAGCCTTGATGATTCTCCATAACCCAACTATTACCTTCCAAATGTCTCCTATTACCCCCAAGTATGTGTTCTCTCTCAGTCAAGTTGGTCTTCTTATTCCACATAGGCCATGACTTTTCTGAAACTAGTGTCTTTGTATATACTCTTCCCCAGCCTCAAAAACTCTCCCCAACAACAGCCCAACTAGATCCTATCCAGTTTGGTCCCAGATTCTCTGTGTAGCTTCTCCTTCACTTTTATCTTTGAGGTTCTGGTGGTGCTAAGAGTTTGGTCATCATCAGACACTATCATGTTTACTATAGTTTGAGCTAAATTAGCTTTATTGTCCTAATTTGGCTGTTCTGGCCCTCAATAGCCATGCTGAGCTCACAGGGGGTACTCAAGAGTCATTCACTGAGTGATTCTTGAATCTCCTCTCTTATTAGCCTTTCCTTGTGTTAATAATATTAAAAAATATTTATTGAGGACTTGGATGCCAATTTGAAACTCATTGTCCAATACACTTCATCATGTGTTCCTAGTTAATAAGTCTGCACAGTTAATTACAATGGGTGCGTGAAGAGGAACAACAAAAAAAGGTGTTTAAAGTCAAACCTACCGAATTGGAATCTCTAGGCATAAGACCCAGGAATCTGCATCTTAACAAAACTGATCTTACTCTGAATTGTGTTCAGTAGACAGTACAAGTGACATAGCAACAAACTTCCATTTGAGGTACACATTTTTAATGTAGCACTTTTACCCTGGTAGTGCAATCATTTGTTTAGTAGTCAGACTCTTCAGCTAAAGTAGTTCTCATTCTATCCCATACACAATACACACTTGGATAAAATCCAAGGAATTTTTGGATAAAATTATTTTTAAAAATGCTAGTATTGCACAACTCTGTCAATAAACTAAAAGCTATTGAACTGCATAATTTAAATAGGTGAATTGAGTGGTATGCGAATTATATCTCTATAAAGCTTTTTAAAAAATACCAGTGGAACAGTCACAACGTATTTACTGCCCCTGAAAAACAGAACGAGATGCAATCAAGTCTCAAGGTTTAAAATACTCACTGGATGAGCCACAATGCATTGCTTTACGTGTGTCAAACCGGCAAACAACTTGGAAGGCAAGAGGCAAGAGCTTGAGCTGCTTATGACAACTTTATCATCAATGACGGGATCCAACTGAACAAAAATCTTCTTCTTCAGTTCTAGGTTTTCTGGAACACATTCCTGAAAAGGATACATTTAAATTACTACTGATGATCACTTTACTTAATCAGGTGCAATGCAAAGCATTTCAGGTTTGATTCACTCCTAAAATGAACCAATGGGAAAACCACCAGCAAAATTTAAGAGCAGCAAAAGGCTGCCAAAAATGTGACAAAACTGTGATAACTATGGAATCTGGATGATGAGTACATGGGAGTTTGCTATATTTCCTCTTAAGTATAGGTTTGAAAATTCTCATAATAAAAACGCCTGCCAACTATATGAGGGTGGATTCTATAAACAGAATACACAACAGCACCTCAGGCAAAGTGCTATAAACATCAATAGTCATCGTAACCATTTATTTTCTCTATCTGTCCTGACCATCAGATCAACTTATCTCCAAGGAAAAATCTTATTTGCATGAAATGAGCAAACATTTACATCCATAATTCCCACAAGGATTCTTGAGAATCCATTTCTAATTGGAAATCCTTTTGAAAAAGACCTTTGTTTCTAAACATCTAAAGTCACTTTAAAGGTGGCAGGGGAGGGGTATAGAGAACAAATTTGGATTAAATACTGCAGATAACAACCTCTCTGAATTCTAGTTACTTGCAAGGGTGGGGATGGGAAGGAGATGACATTCTCAAAACCCCAGCTTGCCCACAGGTGAGGTGTTTTCCTGGGAACGTGAGGACAAAGTGGTACTGCCCTGCTGTGGTGGGAAGGAACAGGTGAAGGGCACTTGAGCTGCTTGAGTACGATGGAAATACGAGAGATGTCTTTACCCTCCTGTCACCTATACCTCTGGGAAATCACAGCAGAGGTAACTCCTAGCCAAAATGGGCCCTTGCTTACCCATATGCAACAGGCACTTACAGGGTTGGCAGCATGAATGCTCAACATTTGCTGGTGCTTTCAATGGTTTTCAGTATGATCCAATAGCCATCAGCAACAGCATCAACTGGTGTGCTTGTTAAAAATGCACATTTTCAGGCCCCGGTCTCAGACCAGTGGAATCAGAATCTCTGGGGGTAGGGCCCAGGAATCTGCATTTTTAACAAGCATCTTGATGATTGCTACTTTTATTAAAGTTTAAGAACCACTGTTCTGAGATGTAGATCCAAAGTGTGGCTACTCAATACTCTCAGCATGGTGGTGTGCTGCAAATACATCCTCAAGGATCCTCTCTTCATGATAATGCCAGTGTGGCCTCCCCCTATCACTGAGGTATACCAATCAAGTATGCCCGAGGGGTAACAAGAAGGATATTAATTTCATGGTCTCTAACTCTGTGATACTCATAATTGCACCTGGCCAATTTCACTGAAATGTTACTCAAATTTGCAGATCACATAAGTTACTGAGAATAGTATAAACACCAGTAGATAACCAAAAGTGTGTAAAAGTGGACATTCAGTGCCAAAATACTACTAGTAATTATGTCAGAATCACCCCTCAAAAATAAAATATTTTCAAGTTTGATTTAAAAATATCTAATAGTTAATAACAATATATAATACATTAAAATTAGCTGTGTAAATATTATGACATGAATTCTACTTTTATAACATCTACAAGAATAAAAAAAACTTTTACTCTAAGGGTGGTGTGTCAATATTGTGCCTGTTTATATTTTTTAAAAATATAATCAAACCATGTAACATTTTATTAAGAACAAAAGGTCATATAAGTACTGCATCTCAAAGACAGAAAAAAAAATGGAGTCATTTAAGAACTGTAAAGCCCATTGTGCTAAATCCCCTTATCAAAAAAAAAAAAAAAAAAAAAAAAAAGCTACAGAACCTGGCTAATTGTATTGAGTAATTCCTGGATCAGTTAAGTCTGCAAGTTGGGTTAAGTTTAAATGAAGCCTTGTAGTAAAGCCAGAGACTAAGAATGGTGCAGATACAGTTTAAGCTAATAAAAGAGCCCTTGTGAATAGCTTCATTGTGAGCCTATCATGCAGATTCCCCCTGAAATTCTAGGCCTTTCTTCAGATCACTTGATTACCAAAGAGGCAAGAAAACTTGAACCAGAGGAAACCCAAACCTGCAACAATTATATAAGGGTTTTTTTTAATGGCACAGTTGCTTAAAGTTTTGTTGTTGTTTTAATAGGAACTCAACTGTGTTCAATTTGCTGGGCTAGGGTTAAAATGCCTCTGTCCATGTCACCCCTTGTGTTCACCTCTTTGCTAATCATTAGGGAGCCAATATCCCTTTTCTGAGAAAGGCAGTCTAAAACACTATTAATCAGCCCTTCATTGCTTGACTACAAAGCCAAGAGAGGCTACAGTCATTCTCTTTGCCCTGAAGAGGCTGGGAGGAAAGGCAGCGAAGAACAGCAAACAATGAGATAACTGAGAATCTCACAGCAAAGTAGCTTTGCTCCCTCTAAACCACAGCAATAGAACCAGGTGAGAAGCCACCCTATGCATTCTCAACTGAACTGTGTCTTTCAGAATCCTTTCTGGAAAAGCCACTAAATGGGAAGGCTGGGCAAAGACCCTGTTAGCTTGACTTTGCTTAATCAAACTTTATCTGCATCTTTCAAAGCAGTACTTTTGTTTATTTGTTTTGGGTTTTATTTGTTTTGAGGTGGATACAACACATAATAAATGATATTCTCATGGACAACCACTATTATAGGTATGCCCAGGTTTTGACCAAAAA